TGCGCTACCTTCGGTATACAATCAAAGCCAGAATTAGATTTGGGCCAACAGGTGGGCTCTTTACTTACTCTGATGCTGATTGGGCGAGTGATAAATCAGATAGGAAAAGTATCACAGCATGTGTAGGCTTGATCAGAGGGGGTCCTGTTTTCTGGGGGAGTAAGAAACAAACAACTGTAGCCACAGCAACGGTGGAAGCTGAATATATTGCTTCGGCATACAATGCTAAACAAGGACAATGGATAGCTCAAATAATAAGAGATTTGGGATTTGGTGGCTATGTTTCTAAGAATCACCAGACAGTAGAGACCTGCGGAGACAACCAAGGAGCAATTGCGCTTACAAAAAATCCTCACCTTACTGAGCGCTCGAAGCACATTGATATCTCTTACCACTTTGTTAGAGATTTGTTCGAAACCAAGAAAATAAACCTAAATTATGTTCCGACAAATGAAATGGCTGCAGATGGTTTCTCAAAGCCATTACCTAAACAACAGTTCAATAAATGGATGCGTCAAATTGGGATGATACTAGTCGGGCAATCAGAAAATGCTTAAATTATCAAAATCTTTGGTAAATAAGTTGAGTAGTCAAGAATTACAAAAGTGGTATAGATTATAGTGATGTTTGGCCAATGGGGGAGTGTTGAATTATAAGAGCGTTGGTCAAACATATTTATCCCTGCACCTTAACATAACGGAGTTAGGGTTGTGATTATTATTTATATAGGAGTAAAAAGGGTAAGGCGTTTGGAGATCTTATATACCCTGTATTAGTAGTTCCATATTTGCGTGTAGATGAGCCTATAAGTGGAACGTTGGTACGAGCTAGGCTGCAGTATTCTTAGGGAATGCTGAGACTGTTGTAACAATACACGTTTGTTTAACCCTATACTTTATCGAATCTACTTCCAGCCACACTGTTATATCCATCTAAAGGAATCATAATCTAACAAATGTATTAATAACTACAATGCGGAATAAGAGTATCTGTCAAGGGGAACTATTCCACCTACTCATGTAAACTAAGCTAGTAATGTCACATGACCTGGCTATCAGTACATAGATTTCATCTGTAGCATTAGGGCTCTCTAGTCAACATTTACAACGTAATACCGTGTCCCACGTATCTTTCTTGAGAGCATCTTGAAAGGAAATATAGTTTTACAGGAGTATGACTAAGCGGACCCTAAGGCCAGCATTAGAAATGGGCCGCCCATAGTAAACGGCTGGAGTTTGTGCACTAGTTCCTATAACAAAAAATGGGATGGATCCCGGGCCACGCAGGGCGGGCAGGAAATGAAATTGCTGATGGAATCGCTCGAAGAGATCTTGAAGCGCTGGACAACTCAAGGACAATATATGGTGTGATTACCCTAACCTCATCTGGATGGAAAGCTCGCGGACTTTCCAGGCAAATGTTGGCGGTCTGGTGGCACTCGAATAGCCCTAAACACTATGCAGACCTCTAACTTTAGATGCAGGGCAAGAAACCGCCAGAACCAGTATTCCTGAGAGCGGTATACGCCCGCTTAATCGCCGCTTTAACTTCACTACCGCCACACTTCACTGCGCGTGCGGAAGGGAAAAATTAATCGGCCACCTTTTACAGTGTCGAAAAGCACTGACAACATGGCTACTGATAAGCGGAAAGAAAAGGGCACCAGCTCTGGAAATCATGCTCGATTCAAGTGGGTGGCAGCTGTTCAGGGAATGCGTCCAGGAGAGCGGAATATACGCGGAGGCTAGTCGTGAGATGGCAGGGATACCTATGACTCGGGGTTCATATATCGAAAGCCAAGGCAGTTTGGCATGGAAAGAAGGATTGGAATAAGGGCTCGGGCGTGTGGCGAGTAAGGCGGAACAATGGGAGAGAGATTTTATAAGTTTCTCTTTTATAATGCGGGATTTTGCGTGGAAGTTTTTCGTTTGTTTTCAACCTGGGCTGCTGAGCTCGTCATGATTCAACACATAGATGCGTTTTGGCATGGTTCCGGTCATTTAGATGGGACGAGGTTTATATGTACTTCACGGTAGTCAACCTGATCCAGCCCGACCCCACTCGTGCTCAAGCTGCAGTAGGAGTGCGACGGGAGTCACTTTTCCTAGCACGTTAATGAACAAACAAACAGCTGTCCGCCACTCTGCTTTCCAATTTACGTGTAGCAAATTTCCCTCTACCAGGAACTTCACTTTTGTTTTACAAGTAGTTTGAAATTATAACCGCAGAAAAAGAAAATAATAATAAATCCTGTTAGAATTTAGAATAGTTGGGGCTATCAAGTGGGACACGTTGCTGATCTACACGTGACTGAAAATTCTGTACTTAGTCTCAATTCGGTAGTTGCTTGGATCAATGCGCTCTACAACCTCAATGTCTGAGGGGTCATTATTTCCTTAATAAATCCTTCTATTTAACATTAATCCCACACCAGATCGTAAAATTTCACTAGGAAATATCTAAGGGGCTCGTTGGATTTCATCGTAGAACTTCGTCAGCTCGACCCATTTTCCGAAGGCGAGGGCGCCTTTGGGCGTGACGAGTATCCGTCTGATGCCAGGGTGTGAATATTTAGGTGCATCGCGAAGACGGGCATGGTTTCTTGCCACACTGCAGTAGAAAAAGTGATGTGAACTTTTTTCCTCGCCACAGGAGCAAGTCATTAGGGCATCTTTGTGTGCGAAACGACGATGATACAGGGCGAAATCTCCATGTCCGGAACGAGCCGCAATGAACGCCCCAAGTGCACGTCGGTTTTAAACCCTTCATTTCAGGCGGTATTCCTATACTAGGGCCAATACGAGCTCCTCGTATCTAGCGGGGCCTGGTGCACGTGCAATTAATATCTGATGCGAAAAAAGCGTCTCATAGGTCATGATATTTTAAAATATGGGAAGGAAGAGGCATTCTGCTTATGTCGTCTCACTAGAGAGGGAATAATGACTAGATCCACCAACACAACCGCAGAAACGTGACATTCAGTTTACGCTCTTCGCAGCGTGTTGAAGTAACCCGACAACTAGTTTTGTAGCATCCGAGAGTTATTGGTTGTAGGTCCAGTCGCCTAAACTTAGAATATCACAATCAAATTTGGGTTTTCCTGCATGCAGTCTACTTTGATAACGCAGCCGCAAGAGAGATAGATATCTCTTTTACTTTCTTACAGCTTTATGATAGGAATTGTTGGAAGTGGAGACACAGAGTGTTGTGGACACACGGGCCCTCCATTTCGTCTAGGTTCCGGACACGATCTGGCGTGCAGTAGAGTGGCTGGAATGTGTAATGTGGCGGCTCTTCGGGCTACCTAATAAATATATGAGCAGCTTCATGGCGTGCGAACAAGGAGTTTACTGGGGGTTTTCTATGCATAGATGACGCCATAATTGATTATGTTGTAGCTTACAATTATTTTGTATTAGATTTTAATTGCGTATGCAGCTAGTTAGCTATGACACAGTGTCGCTTACAATTTGACTAGTGGCGCACACCACTAATCTTTTGGCATTAATGTTAACAACTCATTTTGCTGGGATGAATCTTTCCTGGTTTCTGGAAAATTACGCCCATTTTTTTTAAAAAAAATCATTTGATATGTATTCAGCTATCTAGCTATGACACATGACAGGTGCTATGTATACATGTGGGATGACTCATATGACGTTAGAGACACTCATGCTCTGGATTTCATGCGCAAATACCACTTTGAGGTATGCTTGCTTACACAAACAGTCGACCCTCCTTCGTTAGTACCCATAAAAAGGGAATTCAAAACCTTTGATTATCCAGGCATGCCTTCGTCATCCATGCATACCAGCGCCGCGAGAAATGTGGTTGTGTTTTGGCGGATTTGAACCAGCGATCTATTGTCTCGAGTGGGATATATGTCCAAGCTATCCAGACTCTACTTGGGAGAACGTCCTGGATGGTGTACCACTGCACCATCCAACCATGGCGGTGTTTATAGTGTCTCCTGCACTCTCGCAACCGAAGCCTTGGCACGCACAAAGCTCAATTTGTAAAAACTTCTTGCCAAAATTCGAAATTTCACGCTCGTCGAGTTTGTATCCCTCCTTTGCATCATCTTTTGAACTTGTCCTAATCCCTCTCAAGTCCATCCCAAAGAGCTGTCTCCCAGATTTGTGCGCCACGCTTTGGTCCCTCCGTCGGGTATAAATATCGGCGTGGGCGTGAATTTGGCGACAGGCTGAGGCCAGAGAAAGTTGACAGGTGGTGTGATCATTGGAACGAGTATGTACTAGGTCGTCCTCGTAGACTTGATGAGGCTTACGTAGGAATCGGACTCTTTCGGAGTGAAGATTTGACGTGGTCGAGTTATTTGAATCATTGCCTCGTGGGCCAACTTATACGGTATTGCGAAATTTGACTGAACTTGGCTCTGAGAGAATATTTCACTCCCAGGTTCGTAGAGGACACCGCGTACAGGTGTTCAGTCTTGCCCTCCTACGCCCATTTTAATACGCAACATTTCCACCAGGGATTCAATTCCAAATAAATCATCTAGGGTTTGGTCTCACTATCTCAGGCATGTATGGAATGAAAGAGTTATTTTGGGTTTGTATTGGCATATTTGATGGCTAAAACCTTGTTAATTCTTCGTTTATGGACTGGAATTCACAATCCTATTTGATGATGTGCAGGTTCCATTTTGCTTTACAACAGGACTTGATTGTAAAGGCAACAGTTTCATTAATGAATGATGGAGTTGTGTATATTTTGCGACTTTTATCGCTCAGTGATAATTTCTCATTTTGATCTCGAACTTCATGGAACCCTAATCATGATAGTCGATTCTTGAGTCTAATTCAATTTGACCAGTAATGATTTGATGTAAATTTAATCAAATGCTACTATGTGGGAATGGATGGCTCAAAACATGGTCATCTGGTAGAGCGTTCATGTCTGAGAGTGATAAAAATTTGTGGAACTATTTATACAGGGTATCACATAACGCCTTGGTGTCCGATACAGAAAATAAATCATTAGTCAACTTCCATCTCATCTGGCTGAGAATCACCATCTACCAACAGCACATTCTTTCGCTGCTTGATCTTTCCAAAAACACCAGATTTCACGCGTTCAACAACCTCATCATCCTCGATTCCTTGTGCTTCTCTGGCTTTTCGCTCACTCGCACGCATCCGCGGTAGGAGGTGCTGATTCTCAGCCACGAGTTTCCGATTCAGGGCCATTTGTCGTTCCCTATTGCCAGCCATGCGCTTCTTGTAGAAGACGCGTTCTCGTTTCTGTCGTATCTCGCTCACACGAGACATCGCATTGAGTGTCTTTGCCAACAGATCCCGATTGTATCGGACTGGAATGTTACGGCGCGCAGCGAAACTTAATGTAGAATCGACGACCATTTCCTTGCCTGCTGTTTTCCGGAAAGCTTTAGTCCATTTCAGCTTTCGTGGATTTCGCTTCATTTTGAACTGCGTCGGCTGTGATTAGTTTGGAAATTTTTTTGAAAATCTAAGCCATTAACTTACATTTTTGTGACATTTGCTCCGACAGAATCTGAACGCGCGCGCATCATTCCTCACAAACGTGATACCTTTGGAGGGGTAGCACGGTTGCGAGCAGAAATAACAAGTTTCAATTCTTCCTATGGGTTAGCTTTGTATGATACGTAATGTAAAAGGTAGAGAATAGCAAAAACCTCATGGTTTCCGGAAATTGCAGTCAGGTTGTGTCTGATGTGGAATATTTTTCTTGCGGGTGCGAGAAAATTTTGATGTGATTAGGTGCCACGTGACTTTAATGGTAGGATGTGTTATCAGCAGGATGGTGAGTCCTGTTGTTGTTGTTATATTTTCTAGGTCCTACGCTATGGGCCAAAAGTCTACTATGTGAGAGTCTGTTTATTGAAGTAAATGGGCGACACTATGATCTCATCTAATTATCAAGCTTGTGCAATTCACTGTATTTATACATGAGAACCGAGACCCTCATATTAGCGCCAGAAGGGATTTAGCCTTACAAATCAGGCCTACAAGAATTAGATTCTTAGCACATCTCAATATATCATATTAAGTCCGATGAATGCGTGCCTTCAAGATCACAGGCCAGTATGGTTTGAATAGCCTAGGCACCTACTCCACTTGAGAAGGAGACCGCTCAGATCATATTTCTCGTGGAGGTAATTAAAGCGATGATGGAGGCATGTCTGGATAACTCAGGGTTTTTGAGACATTCCCCTGGGTGAGTGTTCACGGATGAGGGTTGGCTTAGGGTGAAGAAAAAGTCGCCATAACCTCGTAGTGGTACTTATCATTAAAAACCGAGGCATGATTGCCCTTCTTTTACAATGAGCCATCTGCTCTGTGGGGAACTATTCTCATCACCTGTAAGTTGTGTCCCTTACCAACCTCCTGCCCTCACTGTAGCGTCCACAGAGCCGAGATTGAGTAGCATCTTTTCAACTTTAAGCTGAGTCATTTCCCCCTGTATCAAAGATACGCTTTCGATAAAACATAGACGACGAAGACGACGATAATGATGTTGGAAATGAGGAGAGATATTGTGGTGCCAAACGCTACAACGGTAGTCAGAGAAGCCCTCGTTATATCACAACATGTAATACCCACCAGAGGGCAACAAAAAGCCCACGAAAGCAAAATAAAAGACCCTTCCGCCCTCAAGAAAAGCAGATTTCGACTCGTCTACAATATCGTCCCTTAAAACCTTTAATTCCTGTTGGAAATTCCGACTCTCGAATTTAGGACTCAACCACTATCTGTTTCGTCTCAGGTTCCCGACAAGATCGACTCTCTCTACAGATATCCCGAGTGCGCTAATCGCGCCTACTGTTGCATATACGTTGGGATGTTTACGTTCCACAGTGTACTTTGGCTCATCATGGTAGATGAGAGGCGGCTGGTCATCACTAGATTTGACAGGCACATGAGACTAGCGGGAATTTCTCCCTTAGATGTATATATAAGTCCAATGTTTCCATAGTTGTAAAATATCAAGTCTTCTTTACTTCATCATATTTATCCATATAATATCGTACAGAGTATATTTTTCAACAATTCCAGATATACTAGACAGAAGGGCATCTGAAATACATGAGTTACCCAACGGTCCCACGTCCACAGTGACTTTTGAATGTGTTGAGCTACGATTATTTTAGATTTACCCGAATTTACTCATAACATGACTCGGGTCGGAGAAGTTAATGCTGATACGTGATGCGTATCAAGGAAAATATCTTTTTGTTCGGATTTTACATAACTCATACTTTGAATTGGGTTTACATTTATGTTTCCGATGATATTCTCATCTTATCTGTTCAGAGCACGGTTTGGTATGTTTCGGTGGTAGTATTATTGCCAGCGAGTTATCTAGTAGGGTTTCATATGAGGAAAATTATGTATTTTAGATACTCGATAGCCAGAGAATAGAGAGACAACCCTTCGATGATTTGTTACCTTCTACTCCCATTTCCAAAGTAGTCCAACAGAATGCTAGGCTAAGCTCTTTTACGGCAGTTACTCTCGACCAAGACTTTTCCGACATCCTTTCACGATTTTTGGTTTGTCCTGCGGCATGAATCAGGGGAGGAGTGAGGAGGAGGCTAGGAAGGTTGAGAGATGCTCTCAGGTATACACAGGTCTACTGCGCCCGGCTGGCCGGCCTCTTCGTCATAGGAGAGCCCCACACCCAGTGGTTTCTGAGACATTTCCCTGTGACTACACACCCGCAAATGGCCATCGTTTAGTTGGCTGGAGAGGAGAGATAATTACGGGATAATTATTGTGATTGATATATGATTTGGAAATGCACATTTGCGCTGGAACATATAAGATAGTTTGTGGAGAGATATCTTCATTAATGTATGTAGAAGTGAAGTTACTATTATAATCATTATGTCATAGATAGGCGGAAACTCGTCCTTTATACCCTAGCCAGTTTGTTTGAAGAACGATCACATAACCAGTATCCAGCGCACCAAAGTGTGCTCCCAACTGAACAACTATGCCATTTGTCCTATATGAACAACCCATCTCTCGTACTGCACACATTACTACTTGTAATGTCGTTATGTAGAGACTGAATCTCCTTCATGCGCCATAATGCCACACTGCCATAATAATTACCTAAGCGCCAGCTACTAGATCTACCATACTACATAGCTGAGCATAAAAATTGCTAGCTTTGCCCCATCGCTCGCTGCTGCGTATTATGCGTTTGTAGATAATGTAGAAACACTAGTTTACTTCTTGCTAATGGCCACGACAGCTCCTCTATTAAGCATCATGATAACACCTGTTATAGATTTTCGATCACTTAAATCACCGGCGTAGTCTACAACAGCAAAGATAACTAGATCATTGGCTCTAGAGCTCCCATAATATACTTCGATACTGTGATCAACGTTGAAACAAGGAATATTAGCAGTTACCTTTCCATACATTATTCCATAGTCTATAGTGCCTTCGACGTAGCTCAGGATCCTTAACAGTGCTAACCAATAATCATGGCATGAACTTTTTGAATACTGTGCCATCTTATGTGTTGCAAATATAATATCTGGTCGATTTTTACACAGATACATCAATTTTCAAATAGTTTCCAAAAACCTTTCAACTCTTCTTCAGTGCACTGCTTTCCAGTTGAAAGTTCTAATTTTCCAACGATACTATTTACCACGAGAGTTGAGTATATTTTAGAATCGGAAGTGGAAGAATCACTGACAATAGTATATGTGTATTGAGACTGATCAATCATAATATCATCTGCACGTCATGTGGTCCGGATTCCAAGAATTTTCCTAGATCTTTCATATCGGATCTTTTCTTTAGTGGATCTTTGATTTCATTAATGTCCTTTTCGAAAGGCCTTGTAATTAATAAATCATCGACGTGAGTCCCGATAATTATTTTCATCTCTCATTTCATAAATACCATTTGACCTGTTGGAATACACGTGAAGCTGATGGAAAACAAGAAATCTGAAAGTAGTAGATACCATACCCGTGCGGCTTGCTTTAACCCATACAAGCTCTTTATATCTTGAACATATTTCCCGAATCGTTTGACCATATGTTCTAATAACTTGAGATAGACCTCTTCATCAAGCTCTCCAGTCAGGAATGTGGTAATGACATCCATCTGGTACACTTCTTAATTTTCCCAGGCTGCAATAGCTAGGATAATGCGCACGGTATCAAGTCTTATAGTTGGTGCGAAGCTTTCCTCGAAATTGATTCCATATTTATGGGAGAATCCTCTGGCCACTAGTCGAGCTTTATATCATGAGATCTCATTATCCTCACCTATTTCCAGATCCAATACAATTTTGGACGCGACAATATTTTCCCCAGCTAAAACACTATCTAAAGGATCTGAAAATGCTCCATGTTTGACTAGTGAAGTCATTTCAAATTCATATGCTTCTATCCATTTATCTGTAGTTTTGCTTTAGAGTGTAGCATTGTAGGACGAGGGAACATCGATTTGTTCATCTTAAGAGACGGAGAAAGCATGTTCAATAGCTGTACTTGATCTTTGCCGGGGTCTTTGAATTTCTCATGTTTTTGCGATTGGTTTCCTCTCTCTTCCTGATCTTTGATCTCCTGTTTCTTCTTCTGTCTTTTTCTCAAAACTTAGCATGCGTTCAGCTTTTCTTATCCGACATAGTTCCGCTCGTTTCTGACGTTCAATCTGAGTTTGAAGTATCGGGACTGCCTGCTCTGATAGTAGATTACTTTGACCTTGGAAATCACCTTTAGAGCGTAATTCTGAATTCTGAGCATACTTACATTGTTGAAGATTTGGATTCTATAACTTTACATTGGTAGTATCGTTACTAAAGTGTAGACTTTCCAGCTGATTACAAATTATTGGATGGTCATTATCATCATCGGAGCCTTCATCTTCAATTAGCTGTAGATATTGCATGGAAATCTGGGAGATATTCTCAGAAAAACTATTTTCATCAAAATTAACTGATCATGCTTCGTACAATAGCCGTTTCTATGGATGCCAAATGCTGTAAATTTTAGATGTATCTTCCCTGCATCTGGTGAAGATACCTTTCCAACATCTCTTAGAGAGTTTTTATCGGTTTTATTTCGGGATATGAACATATGTATTGCAGCCCCAAACTCTAAAGTGATTTGTGTCTGGTACATTTCCGTACCATACTGTCCAAGAAGTAGTACTTATTCCTTTTGTTGGCTGTCTACTGTACAAGTATTCTGCAGTCGTAAATGAAGTTACCAAAATTCAGTCTGTAATCCAGCTCAAAAGCATAGACAATTTCCCCTTTCGATAATGGTGCGATTTGAGCTCTCAGCTATTCCATTAGCAGATGCCCATTATTTTATACTCTTATTCAGAAACTCTGTCACTTTATCAAAACGGATAAATATAGGCTTCTCGCTATTTTCAAATAGACTCCGATCTTGTTCTTCCCGATGACACCATTTTTGGATGCATTTGATTAATTCGTTCTTATGTCGTCGAAAAAAGCCCAATTAAATCTTGTGAACTAATCAGCTATTGTAAGCATATATTTTCTACTACGAAAAAGTCGAGTGTGAAATGGACCACACAGGTCCATATGAACTCGTTGAGGAGGTTTCGAGACTTCACTTATCGGACCTCTGTTAATTTTTCTAATCATTTTAACTTCTTTGCATGGGCGACAGAAATCGT